AAAATGGACCTCCCTATTTATTTTGTGGGGATAATTAGATTTTTCAAGCATGTTTCAGTGTGAACTGTCATTATGTTGGTTTTAAAATTAAAAGTGAAGCAATGCCATTAATTGTGCACCAGGCTGAAGATCTACTACAAAAAGCTAATCAAAAGTTAATTTCCCAAATTTGGCAAATTATAATGTTTATAGGTGGTGAAATAAAAATTCAAAATAATAACAAAAAAGTCCCCACTGTGCTGTTATATTTCTTATAATAATTATTAATATACTTTTATTGTTACAACTTTCGTGCTGTAGTGTAACATTATTCTATATTTAAATATCACCAAACGGTGCTTTCTTATATTCCGACAAAAACAGACACAGTTGATTAACATCAAATTGTTGTATCAGTCCAGAGGCTGTATTGCAAGAACTGTCATAATTTGGGTTTTCTCCGCGGCGTTCTGTTTGGACACGTAAAGAATAACCTACAGAATTGACATTAAATACAACTTTTATTTTAATTTATACTTCAGCTATAATTCTGTTATTACAAATAAATCATGGTTTGACAAATAATATAGCTGGAATGCGCGTACTCGTTCCAGAAAATAAACTTGGACATTGCAATAATGGTTGCGCCCAAAGAAATGTTAATATTGTATGCTTAATTAGATTATTCATGTATGATACTCAGCTGGAATGTTTCGAGGAAATCAAGTTGGTTCAAATCGCATCTCGATACTAAAACTTGAAGGTAAGTAAGTATTAGTAATTTCAATTTTTGGCCAGTGACTCGGATTAAGGTTTTAATCATACGCAAAAAATTAAAAAACGTGGAAGGATTTTCTAAGTGAATTTGCATGTATTAACGTGTATGCATGCTCTTTACTGCACTGTTTTCATAATCCAAGAAAATATCAGTCATTTAGATTTGTCAATTATTTGGCTTGTAGTAAATAAACACTGCATGCTAAACAATGCAAGTGACTCGTTTCTAAATTTGCATTATGTAATAACCATTTAAAAAAAAATTGCGAAAGCTGTTTTAACGAAATTCCTATCAGTGCATAGATATAATATTTCACTGCAAACGCGATGATGACAAGACAGTAACATTATAGTTCCGTTGATGCACGAATCATGTTGTATTGACAAGTTCATTAAGCAGCACTCATGAACAGAAGCGAATCCATTCTGCTTTAACTGCTGCCTTGACAGTATATATGTGCCACAGTCGATTACCAATATAAACGAGCAGGCAAATACATGCAATACACCGCAATACATTTACGATGACAGGCGAGAACGAGGACATTGGGTGCGTTATAAATGACAGCAATGATATACACTGCGTACCTTGACCAATCCTTTCAGCCGTTTTTTTTTTCAATTATTTCTCATCCACGATTTAACAAGATCCAAAATTATACGACCAACATTTGACAAAATTGAGCTATAAAATCGCGAAACTATCGTTATAAGAGTAATTCAAATACGAATTATTGCACTTTTTTCGAATATCTGGACAATTACGGACTGTGAGTGTAAAAATAAGGTCGCGTCAATAATAACTAAAACACAAGATATGAACTTATATTGGTCTGTGGAGAACACTTTAAATGTTATGATTTCCCTTATATATAATAGGGTTATTTGTATAATAATAATGGAACTGCGTATTCTTGATATGTAATTACGTCCAAGTTACTATCACCGGAAATGTATTAACGCACATGTCCACCCACCAATAACGTTACGTCGGGTTATGAAGTTTAATAGAGAATATGATGATTGTTGCAGATTGACCACGATATGTGAATTTAATATTGTTTGAATGAAATGTTATCCTGAAAATATTATCATAATTGGCTTAATGTTGACGTATGATCATGTAGATGCAGCAACGAAAAAAAAAATTTTCAGCGTTCTCTGGACATTTAATTTTCTTTTTGAGAACGTGATGTCATTGTCCTCTTGGTTAGTTATGGTGCGGAACTAGACACCTACATTATAAGTTTGGCCTCTTCGGAAGTTATGATAAGAAAATGAACGCTTTCAGCACCGGATGAACAAGAAATAGCCTGGGAAGAGGGGTACCTAGCACACTCAAATCCATTCCCAAGTCTCTGAACGCGTATTGTCAGTAGCGTGAAAATGTCACTTATTTTCAATTAAAATTTCGTCTACGCTTTATTTGATGTTACATTAAGGGTTACAATTACAAACTCTAATGGGTAGTACCGACTCTTGTGCTCATTCTGCAAATTGTCTTGCTTTACCTAGTTATGAACTGTTTTTGACTTTTGAAAGTGTGTGTGTATTTTTAAACCATTATTTTTTGCTGTAAATTTCCCTATATATTTTTTTTCAAACATTTCTCGGTACAGATTTGTTTTATTAAAATTCACCAAGTCCCCTCATACTTTATAATAATAAATTCTGTAGGCATCCTGTAAGTTCTACAGAAATGTTTGCGACAGACTATATACGCACTAGAATTTTTTTTCTAGTTTATTTCTCAAAAACGTCTTTCCTTTTTGCCGTTTTTTTAGAGTTATAAGACCCGAATTGTATTACGCGAGGCCGACGTACTTATTTACATTTTGCCTGCCGGCATTAACGTTCCCGAGTGTCGCTCGCATCCGACTATAAAAAGTCAACGAGCTAGTGAGTGAGGAGCGACACAATTTGTTATCACAGATTCGCATGTTGGTTTGCAAAATAGGAGTCACAGTGAGACAGCTTTATTGAACAGTTTGAAAATAGGCCATTTCACGCGATTTAATGGTTGAATGAATACCAACTGTTTCTGTGAGAGACCTCCTCCCCGTGCTAAATAAATACCGTGATGTCATTGCTCTCTTGTGAGTTGTGATGTCAGAAAGTGATTTCCTTGAACAGTGCTGAAAAAATAATTAGTGTCATGCATAAAGCATGTTGTGAATTATTATATTTTCGTTATATAATATTACTAGTAATCTAGACCAAGAGCCATTATTCTGGCGAGTAATTGAAGCCGTTATTTTGCCTGAAACCCTGCAACGTCACGAGTACGTGATTGATTACTAGTAAATACGCCATCAATTAAGACAATGGGCTTACGTCATCTAATTTTCACGACTTGTAAATTCTCGCAAATGGTGCTTGGTTTAAAAATAAAAGATGCATTTCAGTTTATTATTTTCAGATATGATTGCTGATCTGTGTGAGTTTTTCTAATCGCATACAGATTCATCATGTTATTTACTACGCAATAATCTAATCGAGTATCTGTCCAAAATTACTAAAGGCTTCCAGTTATGGTCCTCCGTCTGTCTTACTTGAATAAACCTATCAATGCATTTCTACTGAGATAGCTACGATTACATACACTCACTTACTACAAATCATTCAATAGTAACACACACGTAAGAGTTTTATGGAACTACGAGCGTACGTTCATAATTGAATGCTGTACCATTGAACGCGTTACCGAACACACGTGCGATGATTCGATATACCTTTCCTGCAAAATAAACATGTTATCCTACTTGACGTTTGTCATATCACATTAGCACATGTGGCAGTGACAACATTTCGTGGTTCAATGTCATTTCAATTTCATTTGCACCACAATGAAAACACATTTCCTCGTCAAAACCTCAATAAAATTGGCAACCTTTTAGCACATCAAATAGTGCCTTGTAGGGCACTAAATATCTTTTTTTCGCTTTGTGTTACCGAACAAAATTTTGTGAAATTGAGATATTCTTGCTATAGGAAACGATGGTAAATGCCCTAAAAGTCGAAACATGTGTTTTATTGGTTGATTTTTCCCCAACTGGGTATGGTGACCTATATATTTAAAATATGTAAAAAAAATATTAGTACTATTGTGTGACATACTACATTAAATACTGTAAAATACTTTATTTTTGCTGGAATTAATTTTAGCTGAAAAGACTTTTGGTTGTTTTGTATGGAATTTATTTTTAATGATTTTTGATGAGTTTAATGTGAAATATAGGAAAAAAAGTATATTCACTGGATTTTATTTTCACGGAATCATCCCTTCAGCGAAAATAGCGAAAATACATTCCAAGCGAAAATAAAGTATTCTACAGTACAACTTTTCTATGCGCTGCGCCCTCTAGTGACGAAGTAATTATATGACATAATATGTGACGCGGAGACTGTTCAGATTGTTGATATCGTTTTGTATTCATTCACCAATTAAGATTGTGTATTCGAGACGACGAATTTCACAACCAAGGAGAGTTGTTGATTTAAACGACGTTACCTTCACTAATAAACGTCATTTTGACGTCACAAAAGCGTTCCGTCTCGAGGGCGTGACTTACAGGAATGCTGAATAGGAAACACGTCGCCTCTCTTGTACGTAATAGTTACGTGAGGATTGTATTGATTTACGATGATAAGAAAGCCGCAGTATGCTGCTTTGTCATTATTTCCAGGAAGTTAAAAAATAATAAATAATTAATTCAATTTTATCCTTCGAATAATAAATTATAAAAATCTGTCTATTACGATAAAATGTAATAAACTGTACATTCAACAATTTAGATGAACGCTATTATTTCCAATTCACTATTAAACTGGTTTGTTCTCTCTCACAGAAACGAATGACTTGTTATCGAACGAACACAAAGGAAGTACACATTCGCAACAGATATTGAGTTCATCGGACAAGTCACATAGAACCAAACGGAAACTGTCGTATTCTGTAAATAGAGACCTCAAATCTCATAACCTGATTATCAGCAGAACGTGGGGGGTATTCGAGGAATCTAGAGCTCGGCTATCATTGTGGTGCGTTCTGAAAAATAATTGCATTGAACACCGGGATCTTTAACGACTTCCTGTGGTAATTGACATTAGAATTACCTATATAATTGGCACTTGGCTAGTACTGCCATCGGACAAAACTCAAGGTAGAAGTAAACTACTGAGATCGAACATTAAGAGCTGCCTACACATGGGCATATATCCTTAGTTTGCAAGTAAGATACGCAATGACGGTAAACCAATCGACTACGAGCTGGGAAGGATTTCACGAGACACCTTGGCTTTCCAGAGCGGAAAAGGGTCTCGTCGTGAGCGCTATACTTGTGTTCGCCATGGTAACGGTAGCTGGCAACCTGTTGACTATCCTCGCATTCCGACGAGACAAAAAACTACGCAGCAACATCAGTAACTGGTACCTAGTAAATCTCGCCTGTGCCGACATTTTAGTCGGGTCAGTCACCCTGTCGCTCGATGCTGTCACATTCGCACAGGAACCACCTATGTGGCTGTTCGGAGAGATAATTTGTAAAGTATATCTCGTCATCGACTTTGTTTCTACCTGGCAATCCATCGTTGCTATTATTTTGATTAGCCTTGATCGATACCGTCTTGTCACCAGGGAGCTAAAGTACAAAATGTATCACACACGTAAACATGCTGTTGTACTGTGCGCATCGAGTTGGGTGATCATTTCCATGGTAACTATATTGCTTGTGTTCGGATTTCCATACTTAGTAGATCGTCAAGTATTCTACCAACACTCGTGTGACGCAGAATTTCTGTTCCATAGTTCATCTGCAATCGTCTACACCATACTGACTTGTTTTATTCCCTTACCAATTCTGATATATCTCAACCTGAGCGTATACATCAACGTGCGCAGACGGGCAATGCGCAGATCAGGTCCCCTTGGATGTGTTGCTAAGCAGCGAGCTGGTTTTGTCAATGATGAGAAAGCTCGGGGAGGTCAAACGCCATCCAAAACCGAGGAAGGTTTAGCCTCTACACCCACCCACATTCGGCAAGTCACCGTACCTACAACATCTAGAAGTGGTAGTGTGGCAAGCATAGATCACCTCTCCACCAAGAGAAATGACAAGCGACATTATAAGGCAGCTAAAACTTTAGCCATACTAGTGAGTGCATATTTCATTTGTTGGACACCATACAATGTCGCACTGATATTGTCTATAATCGGTAAGAACAATGTACCGAATATAATTTGGATACTCTCCATTCACCTCCTGTGGTTGAATTCTGCTATAAACCCATTTCTATATGCCTATTGTAATTCATGTTTCCATAGAAACTTCAAAGAAATGTTATGTTTCATCTGTTCAAAATATTCACGACGATAGTTATCAAATATTACAAACAACTAATCTATTCTTAATAAAAGTGAATATACTAGATTAGAAAATCAAAATGATGTTATTGTTCTCACAATACTAGTAAAAATAATGTAAACTGTACGTAATTCATTATTTCATTAAACGAACTATTTTGTGGGCGATCAGATCGCCCGTTTCAGTACAATACGAATTAAAATTGAATGCATCGACTCGGAAGGAAATGTTGTTGTTATATAATATATGTACATGTATATGTATTTGTATACTTATTTTAATGATAGATACATTTAAATTTCAAGTGTTAGACTAGTAGCTTGGGCGAGGATGTAGACCACAGACCAAGAAAACTATAGTCCAGCTGCACAGGACGTGACCCAAGTTTATGGTCTACATGATATTTGTATTTCACACACATATTAATTGAGAATATGCATAGGTACAACATTTGTACATTCGACGAAGATATTGTTATTCAAGATATAGACCAAGATGGCTGCCATAACCTATATGTGGGGGTAATTTTGTCTAAACGAACTCAGAACTCGATATTATCATTAGATAGTGACCATTTATACATTGCACGGAATAACGTCGCTATTGTCTATATCAAAAACAATTGCCTGTTATTTGTTTAGAACGATCGATATATATAAAGTCAAAAGTCCTTGTTGACCATAACTTTCGAAGTGTATAATGTAAGATGAGATACAGATTCCCCTCAGATCGCGGACGGGTTCATCGAGGAGGTTCACAAAATTATAAACGACCGTAGAAGTAACTATCTGTTTGAAAACCACCTATAATACGAGTGTATGTGTTGCAGCATGCGTCGATTCAAGTCCCGATTCAAGTGGCCCTCCAACGGTCAATGATCTCAATAAATAAAAACGAACTCAGAGGGAAAATTCCTATTGTTTGATGAATATTATATTATACTTTATTGCCTTCCTTATCCTGTGATCAGTTGCTTATTTGGTTCAATGCTATAGTTGATAATGTATATACTTTTGACATATTTAGCAGAGACCTATTGTTGTGGAATGTGGTTAATCAATAAAATGATGATGTGTTAACTTATGCCCAACCAGTAAAGTGCTGTCGAAGGGAAAGTTTTGTCCAGCCTTGTTTTATAATGTGACGAGCACTAATATGGCTATGATCACAGTCAGCTGGCGCACACCTGATAATAACAGGCCCGTAGCCAGCACTTTTGAATAGGGGGTTCGAAAACAAAAGTAATATATTTGACGTGAAACGTGTGAATTTTATAATATTAAAAAAGTGTCTTTGAGCTCTGTTACAGACATTTTTATATTCTCGGTTTTAAATTCAATTGGTTTACTTTGTATTACGTTAGTAAGTTATTTCACATAACATATTTGAACTATTTTATCATATGATTTTAGAAAAGGGGTCCTAAGCCATTCCCCACCCACAGACAAACACACCCACACCCTAGACCCACTACGGCAAAATGCTGTACACAAAAAAGACAAGACTATACGTATCTTAGCATTTTAAGGTAGAATGCTACTCGCGAGTTTTTTTGCTCTTCGCAGATGTTAGCGCACATAAAAGTGACACGATTTCATGTCGAAATCTGTCTACAATTATTCAATTTAGTATTAGTCAATTTTGTATTATGTAATTTTATTTCTGTACAGGGCCTCAGCCCATCGTAGAAAATGTAATGAGTAGAAAAGTGCATAGCACGTTTTAAAAACAATACAACATCCATATAAACATATGGTACTAAGTTAAGCTGGATTAATATTCATCTCGTCGCTCGAAAACTTTTAAAAGATACAGAACTAGTTGATAAATGGTGTGGCAGTTTGTATAGCGACGAAGTAAGCCCAGACTATCAGTATTTGCAAAATTGCATAGGATTACAAAAGATCAGCCCTTAGATCATTATAAAATGGACATATAAAAACAAAGTGAATTTCATTTTCTACCATGCTAAATTCAAGCATATCACTGCAAAAACTAAAAATTTATTGATCTAACTATATTTTTGTGTGTCTACCTGATTCAACATTGTTTATGGCCAAAACAGCGAAAACTCGTCAGTATATATTTTAGTCTATAATTGCTTGCCAATAAATCACCCAGGTTATAATACTACTTTGATTTTTCCGAAAGTGCACAGCCTAGATGATTGTGAAATTGAGGCATGCCATTCTTGCTGACAAATTGTTTTTATTCTTTGAGTAAATATCTCCAACTTGTTTTTCAAACCAGACAATGCCGAAACCATATTTGAACAGGCGATTTTTATGTGGGTATCCCAAGTAAATCTGCCGGTTTTGTCTAATCGTTTAAGCATGATATAACATGTTTTGTGTTCCAGCTATTTTTACTTCAACTAATTTTAACCAATATAAGATACAACGCTTAAAATAACCACAGCATAATGGCAGCCTTCCACATTCGTCCAACATCGCTACATTGTTAGTACAACTATTCACGCTAAGTAGATATCTGCAAAATGTTGTCTGTACCCTCTCGATTTCCGATTTTTT